CCAAATCCAAATTTCCTGAAAATAGACAAAGACATTAAATTAATACTTACACCAAGGTCACATAAGGCTTTATCAAAATAAACTTCACCAATAGTGCAAGGGACAATGAAACTCCCTGGATCTTTCAATTTCGATGGGAGTTTTTTCTGAATTCTCGTGCTGTATTCTTCAGTTAACATCACCGTCTCATGTTCTTCTAACCTACGTTTATTTGATAAGATGTCCTTTGGGAATTTAGCATAGCTAGTCATCTAAAACAGTGCAACAACAAACAGGATGTTTATGTGGAGCTTCTTGAAAACTTCGAGGAACATTTTGTATTAATGCTATATCTTCTGCTTCTTCAACCTCTAGAGAAATGAAATGGGAGGCTCATGTGGGTTAACTATAATTGTTGCCCTTTCCTGTGATTTTCCCGAACCTTCCTTTAGGTTGGGGTCCTTGATTTGTCCATCTTGCTCCACAGTCTCTTCTTCTGCAGGAGGTGTTGTTTCTTTACTTACAGCTGGCCTTTGACGTGTATTTCACGTAGTTGCACCCCACTTCGAGTTGTAATTACCTTCGCATGCTCCTTTGGGTTGATTTTTGTGTTGCTTGGCAAACTATCTAGTGCTTTGCCAGTTAACACAACTATCATCTGTCTCATTTGAGTCTTCAAATTTTTTATGGCGCCATTTTGATCTTAAGGAGTGGCTTCGATTTTCCTCATGAAGTGATAGTTGGCCTCCATGTATTGATTGGTCTTTTCCATGAACTTTTTGAACATCTCTTCCAGTTGAGGGTTTTTCTCTTGTTGTTGGAACTGACCTTGTGGCCTATTTTGATTTTGGCTACTCCGAGAAAATTTAGGGTACTTTTTCTAGCTCAAGTTGTATGTTTCCCCAGATGAATTGTTTTGTTAGCATTGTCTCCATTGAGCAAATTTTGTCTGCTCCTTTCCTTGTGTTAAAATTGGGCACTCTAGTGATATATGCTTAGCTCCACATTTCTGAAAACTGATCTTCTTAGTTTGTACTATGTGTACTAATTATGACATGGTTTTCACATTGTGAAATAGTGAGTCAATCTTTGCTGATAGGGCTTAATACACATCCATTTCATAGACTCCCGGTGCCCTCTTCTGAACTACTCATTCTGACGTCCACATAGCCGATGTAGTAGCCATTGTCTCGAATACCTTTAGTGCCTTGTCAATAGTTTTTGTCGATAGTGACCCGTTAAACGAGGAATCAACCATGCTTTTGAAGGCTAGAAGTAATCCCGCATAAAAGTATTGGACCTGGAGTCCCTTGATGATCACGTGATGTGGACACTTTCGCAGCATGTTTTTAAACCTATTCCAGGCATCGTCAAAGTTCGAGTCACCCTAGTGGAAAACAGATATGTCATGCTTCAACTTTACAATCTTGGCGCGCGAGAAGAACTTGGTGCAGAACTTCTGTGCTAGATCGTTCTATGTAGTGATACTGGCTATTGGTTGAGAATCCAGCCATTCAATTGCTTTGTCATGCAATTTATGTGGGAAGAGCCTCTGAAGTGTTGGCACATCTCCAAAAATCGAAAGACGTGCGTGTGTGGATTTTCTTCAGCTCTACCATTAAACTAATGCCCATTCTGAAACAATTGTATCACATTAGTCTTCAATTGGAAGTTAGGCTACCCAAACAGTGGATACACGATGCTGGACTGGCTTTGGATTATTTGAGAAATCATGAAATCTCCTACAAGCATGTTGCCTTTGTCCATCACATCTTTTTCATTGGTTGGAATGATAAGATTATTCTGCTCGTTTGCCATTTGCTATTATTGTGCTTCTCTAGTTTCTCTTCGCAATCAATGAAAAGTTCGCTCAATTTCTGGATCAACTAAAATCAGATCTCCTCCAGTCAATCTTAGCATGCAAATCTACGAGAATACTAGTAGTACCACTTAGACACTAAAATAAATTGAATAACAAAATAAAATAAAATAAAATAGAACAAAGAATACGAAGAATAACGTTCGAATTAGTGCCAAGATAACTAAGATTAAACTAATACTCAGTCCTTGACAACGATGCCAAAAACTTGTTCGCAAAATTATTCTTTTGATTTGTATCCGCAAGTGTACGGTTCGCAACAAGTAATAAAGTGAAAAATAGAGTCCGAATGTCGTCCCACAGAAATTGAGTAGCTTAACTTTATTTATCTCGACCTTAACCAAAACCAAAGTTTTTAGCAAGATAAATGTAACATGATTAACCCTAAGCTAGACTAAATATGGAATTGTATGTGAATTTGATGAACTATAATGCAAAGTGACATTTTGAATGCAAGATTGATGTAATTAATGAATGTAAAGTACATTAGGATCACGAATTCCCAAGCAATGGTCACTTTTAACCCTAGTTCCACAAATTGACAACACGTTGAATTTTTAAAGAATCTATGTTCCTAAATCTATCCAACAATCTCTCTCGATTAAATGTTGAACCTACTCTTATATACCATCAGCCTATATCTCTATAACGAGTGCAAATATACAAGAATGCATATGATTTTATGAGCACTTAAAAATTCACACAAGGCATAGAGGTATATCTATATCCCCTATTGGACCCTATGATGATTTATACCCTGTCGAACTCATTTCCCTTCTCTCAAATGCATGAAATAGGTCACCACACTAATACAATTACGGGCCCATAATCATGGAAGTAATTTATTGTATATAAACCATTCAAAATTCAAGAAACATGTTTTAATGTCAAAATTGCAAGACTAGAAATTAAAAAATTACATCAAAAGGTTCATCGATCTCCTAGTACAAATTTTTCTAGCCTAGAATTGAGAACTTAACAAAATACGCAATAATTTTAAGAAACGACATCACCGGTGTAAGAATTGGCTTGAAATCCCGTCAACCTTCATGTTTCTCTTCGTTATTGTGATGCAAAATCTTCTCCAAGAGGTGGTTCTCCCTTCAATTGACAGCTTTAGGGTTTTTATATCGCGTCCCCTATTAGGTTTCCATAAAAGTTTACACGCAAAACGAAAACTGGAATTTTGCCCCAGAATGTAACCATATGCCGCATGGTTCACATGAGGCTACCCAGGTGCTTCTCTGAATACCACCATGTGGCCGCATGGTGGTTCAAACTATGCGACATCATGTTTAGACAATTCTTCCCATAAACGACGTTTTGGTTCTCGAACTCTAACTTCTTTCGTTTTGATTTCTTTTCTCATTGTTTTTTTCCTAATACTTCAAATCTTTCACAAGTTGGTCCTTAAGTCTTTCACGTCTTCGTTTGTACCTCCGGTTCTTCTTTTGTCTATTTACATTTTCGTCCCTGAACTTTCATTCTTTTCCATTTTGGTCCTTTTTCTTCATTTTCTTCCTTCTATCATCTCATATTATCACCAAGTCGATGCTTAACTCATTTACATTCTCGATTCTTCTTTCAGGTCATCTTTTGATTATTTGCATGTTGGTCCCCTAAACTTTCATTTTTTTTTTTATTTATTTTTTTTTTTTTTTTCTTTTTTTCGTTTTTTTTTTCCGTTCACAGTTTAGAATTTTTGCCCTTTTTCGTGTCTTTTATCCTGAATTCCATTATACCCATCAAGGTAACCTACAACACAAAATTTCATTGAATTAAGCCATATTCAATCATTTTTATCAATAATAGGTCATGTTTTGTGGACCAAGTACGTGTACAAAAACGTACTTATTAGTAGTGATTATTAATTTATTGGAATTTTGTAATATTTCTTATTTTGGAACCCTGTATTGGAAGAATTGCACTTTAATTTAGTCAAAAGAATAATGATATCTAATACCAATAATGTTAGAGCATGAATCTAGGCGGTCACACTTAATAGTTTGAGAGCCTTGATGCCTGAAAAAGTTGCATCTTGTCACCTTGTGTCACATCCATTTGATGTGACATTTCTGCATAAGTGGATTGTTGTCAAATTGCTAATAATCTGGCTCAATGAGGTGTGCAAGGTCACAAACCTATGATGGCTATTATTTGACATATTTGAATTTGACATGTGAATCGTCCGAAGGGCGACATTTGCATCTCTTTTTTCTATAAATACTCACACGTTGTGCCAAATGAAGGAAATGACGGAATTTGTATTCTCATTGTCTAAATATAAACTCGACCCCCGCATTCTTATTTTTTCTTCTTTCTCTTGCACGCATATCTTTATCTATATTTTTACTTAAGCATTGGAATGCACGCGATCATAGCCTCTCCCTTTTATCCTTGAAAGCAACACATTGTTCACTTAACGTATGTCCAAGTATGCAGGTAACGTAAATACGGAGGGGACATGAGTTAGGATATGTTGATGCTTGGGTCCCATCTGGATTCGGAGCTCAACAGATTGGCACTTTCAGTGAGAAACCGTACTCCTAGCTATGAGTGGAAACGTGTGTAAAGTGCCTACCAAAACCTACTAGCTACCATTTGGGCTGTCCTCATCACCACCTGGCGTCGTAGATCCTAATTCTCATCTCAAATATCACCTCATTCACGGGCATCCCAAATCAAGGGCTATTCCTTGATCTCAACCTCTGTAGCATATTAGCAAGTACTTTTTTAAGCTCTGATAACGATGCAACAAACTATGGAATAAAATACACCTACGAAAATGGTGATCTCGTATCCAGCGATTCAACGAATTCCAAAACTGAATCGAGAAAATTTGAGAAGTAACCTATTACAAATTTTCTTCTATCAAATTCAATTAAAAGCAATAAGACTGTTGTTCGGCGCCCCTCTAATGAAACCTAATGCTAGTCTACATCAAAATTACACCTACAGGAGCCCATGCCACAATGCAAAACATAGCAGCCAAGTCCATCTCATTGTCCATCAGATATTATTGGTTTCTGTTTCTTTGTTTTTTTGTTTATAAACACATCACCAGCCTTTATCACTTTAGATATATTTGTTAAATCATGAATGTCTTAATTTTGTTCCTTTTCCTCTTTCATTGTACCAATTATTGGCTGAAATATTTTGTATTGAATTTATATACTGAAGGAATGCAATACATTGAACTATGAAAAACATTTTACATTTTTTGACAGAAAAAAATAATCAAAATTCCATGTAATGAACTTTCAGGGATAGAAAAGCTTAGCAAATAAAAGCTCATTCCAAGTATCTTGCAAGCCAGGTAAACACCAGTGTACACAGTCGGCATAACTCGCTGGATTAGCCAATTGTTCAGGGGTTAAAGGGTTCCACTGCTTCTTGTAAATTGATGTGTGTGCATCTCTTCGATAACTTGAGAGCTTTGTGATGTTGAGAAATGTAATGGGAACTTTTGTTTTGCTGAAAACTTCGCCTATTACACGCATTACGCCCTTTCGACAGTCTGATCCCCAATATTCTTCATCTTCTATTAAGGTTGTTTCATTGTAACAGTTGCCATGCGGATCACCACCCCAATCAATGCTCCTGCAGAACATGAATCATTAGTGAAAAATCTTATGTCTTAAATGGAGAACCGTAACAAATTATGAGTTAAAACAAGATGTCTGATAGAAGAAGGAATTAAGCTCCTTGTACAGATGAAATGTATAGAAAACATTATGGATCTGCAGGTGCAACACTGCATTGACTGGTTGAACATATTTTTTGTCCAACTTCCAATTAAATCTTAATAGCTGGAATATGTCAAAAAAAATTGTCAACCAGCCCTGTACGTGTAACAGGAGTGTAGGAGAAATGGGGGGATAATTTTGCAGTGTGTGGTTTGTGGACTGGGATCGACCTAATATTGTACTAGCTTACCCTAATACTCCTAAAATATCTCATGAGTTTCAGAGAGACGAGAGTTGTGAGATCCTTCGTACCTAAAAACATGAAGTGGTAAGTGGGCATAACTCTAAAATCTTGTGCGTGCTTGGGTGTTTTTATTTCGTTTTGCATATTATGACACTCATAATTTGGATGAGGGTTCAATACCTAACAACCAATGTATATGAAAATTGTTTATACTCACTTTTCATGGGAAGGTGACATACTGGTGAAAAAGACTCTTGTTTTGTTACGTTCCATATTTTTCTTAACCCATCTCAACATTATTTTCATTGCCATACGATAAGCATCTTCTGTTGGCAACTCCACTATTTCTTTCTCTTCATCATCAAAAGATCCATGCCTGTAAAGAAAAGTAAATTTACAAGGCAAAATCATTGAATTATAAAGCCAGAAGGAATTTGATATGAAGGGAGTGAGAATTTATTACAGTATCTTGAACTGTTGGCCTGTCATCCACCATAAATAAGTGTTGAACACAATTATATCTGCTCCTTTCCAGTGTTTACCATGCTTATTGATCGAACCTTTTCGAACAATTCTATCACTTATTCTGTGAACGACAGCATCATCCGAGTTTGATTCGAGTAGAAATGGTGCCCAATAGAACTCAATGGTAGCGTTGTATTCCTAACGATATTAAAGCAAGATTGCTAACCAAGACTAGACGAAAAAACTCTCCATGGACATAAGAAAGACCTGTGCAGCATAGTAAGAATTGAGTAAGAGTACCTTGGCTGTAAAAACATTGAAAGAACCAAAAGTCTTCATGGATTTGGCATGTTTAGGAATGGATCTGTGAAGAAGACAGACCATGGAAACAAACTGGCCCCGATTTAGAGAATCACCAATGAACATCATTCTTTTTCCTCGAAGAGTTTCAAGCATCAATGTAGCATTGAAACTGCAAAAGTTTTGATAATTCAGAACATTATGCATTCTCCATAAAACATACATCATGTTTCTTGAATACTCTTATGTATAAAAAACATTTTTCAGGTTCAAATATTGAAGTTATTTACATAGCTAACTAAAGTTTTGCTATTTCAATTTCTTGAAAATAATAGATTAGTGATAGATTCACCCAGTACATAACAAAATATTAACTACTCATGACAACGTTAATGGCATCTTCACATTTTTTATTCACCTTTCTCACCTAAATGTTCAAATTTACACCAATCCAAAACCATGTGATCAACATCATGTGCGTCGTGATAAAGGCTTCTTTTTTTATTAAAAAAAAAATGATGAATTCCCCGGTTTAAAAGTTAGTATTTATCTCTCTTTAAGGTGCTCACATTCCCACCAATTTTAAGCACATGATCAATTTCATCTTTCCTTTTGTAAGTAATATTGTATAGTGAAATTTGTACTTTAATATTTATTAATTAAGAGCAATAATTCATTTGAGAATAAATTTACGTTTACAAATTTCTTCTATTTTAAATAAATTTATAATCAACTATGTGACGATCTTTTATAATTATTTTCTTGGTCGTTCAAAGTGAGTCGAATTCTACCACATTGTAATATTAATAAGAAAGCCAAAATAAATGAACTAAGAAACCTTGGAAGGGAACAGCCATTAGGCTGCCATCTCCAGTGCTGATAATCCTTGTCCGGTCTGCCATGTTCTTGACATGTTAGCTGCGGCTGAATATACGGACACTCGTCTTCCTCGTAAAGCGGCCGACTCTCCTTATCCCATACCCACCTCCCATTAAAAATATCGCAGCCTCTTTCCGTCTCACCAATGGCAAAAGGTAACTTCTCGCTTTTCTTCTCTATCAATAAAGAAAAATCAACTATTTTAGTAATATGTAGATAGATGTACACAAACTTCATAGAAATACAAAATATATGCAAAACTTACTGGCTGAAATGGATTGGTGCAAGTGTCTAGGTTGATCAAAATCAAGTTGACCAAAGATACAGCTGAAATCTTCACCATAAAGGATGGTAACAAAGAAGATGAAGGCTAGTAAAGCGAAGAAAAAGGGAGAGAGACGCGTCTTCCGGAGGAGGACGGAGGAGGAAGGTGGTGCTGCTGCTGGTGGTGCAGGCTTCATCTGTTTGAAGCCTTTGTGTGGTGTTTTGGTTTGGAAGTTGGTAGTGAAGTAGTTGTAGCATGAAGAGTGGTAGAATAAATATAAATAATATTAGCAAGATGTTGCATTTTAGCATTAAATAAAAGTAAAGTATAAGAAATTAAAAGGAATCTGTATTAATAATTAATCATATTATTATTTTAATCATAACTACAAACACACACTCACATGGCTAATCATGATCTTGGGATAATACAAGAAGTGAAAAACTACTATCTATTTTATTTAGTTTTGTGTGCAATAGGAGTCTCAATTAAGATATCTTTGGTGGTTCAACCACTCTGCATAATGCAATTTAGAAATACTTGATCTTAGAATTTTACTTTATTTATTTTATATTTTTCTTTGGTTATATGATCCTATTATTACAATCAAATATTTTAAATCTACTACTAAATCATTTTAGAACATCTCCGATAAACTCTTTAAATATAATATGCTCTCCATTTTAAAAAGTTAATATTTAAAATTATGCTCCAAAAGACTGTTAATATTAACATTTTAATTTAAGGAGTAATTGTGGCTTTCTAAATTTGGAGAGTCAAACTCATTCTCTATAGTTAAATGCATTTAAAGTGTTTTCAATTTTCAATATAGAAAAATAATAAAATAATTTAATGAAAAACTAGTTAAAATAAAAGATAAAGAAAAATGAAAAATATTTTTTTGAGTATATATGTGTGTATATATGTGTCATGGTTCTTTTATTGAATCATATCTTTCCCGAGGTGCGAGATGGGTGCCATGGATAATTATATTGTTTAGCAATTTAATGTGTGTGTGTGTGTGTGTGTGTAATGTGTGTATATTCATGTCATGGTTTTTTTGTTGAATCATATCTTTCCCGAGATGGATAGTTATGATGCTAGTTTGAATTTGCTTTGCTTCGAAGATAAGTTGGTAAAGATGGCAAATCATTTTCCTCACTTTTGGGTAATATTTATCACAAAATTGCTGGAAAAATATGAGTGATTTGGAAGGATCTTAGTGGGGGAGTAATTGATGTTATGGTAATACTTCAACTTCATTTGGGTGGTACTTGGTCCTGCACCTAGCTTCAATCCTCATTCTTTGGAAAGGGACATTGGATATGTGTATTTATCTGGAATTAGGATGATAAAATATTGGACTTTTCTTATTTGAAAATTGAAGTCAATCAATAATAAAATGGTTAATTTGGACCTAACAAACAGAATTAAAGTGACAACTGAAATGTGATTTTATTTAGTACAGACTCAATTTGGTTAAGCTATATTTTACTTTGTAAAATCGACAGATGAGATTTAATAACTTAAAATGTCAACTTGTTTGGTAGAGTGGGTTATATATTATAGTGAAAGCATTGAAAAAGAAACCTAAATTTTGAATTGCACTACACAAACAGGGCGTGTCACCAGCCCTATTGACGGACTGAGGTGGTGGTACCTCAACCCTAGATCTCGCTCAATCCTGCGTACCAAATTATGCTCGAGCTCTTGTGAGCACGATATGCATGAAAAAATAAAAAAAAATTGGGTCCCATCAACTTTGTTTGCATGAGCTTTCGATAACTAACAACTTGGCTCCACAATTTTCACCTTTGAATTCTCATTCTAAGGAGCTATAAATAGATCTTACCCACCATACTTGTATCTTAAACCATAATCCTTGACAATTATACAAAGAGAATACATCAAGTGTAAACATCATCATCAAGAATCAATATCAATTCCAATTTCACGTCTTCACTCAGTTAAAATTGCAACATCCACCATTATCATGTTACCATCAAACGTCACACCAAGAGCAAAAGATTAGACCAATGCTCTGCCATTGGTATTCCAAAAATAAAAATGAGCAGTTGAATAATTGACTCTCGCAAACTAAATGTCCCTTTTAGGTGTTGGACAGTCCAGCAAAAGGATAAGGACTATTGCCTCAGTCAAAACTAATAGCCTTCATCAAATAGAGGCCGATGCTTGTAAAAGAAGTCAATCCACAGAGCTATCTATCGATCCACAGAGCTATCTAAGTAGAATTTGCAATGCGTACGCATATCAGAAGTTGAACAAAATAACCACTGGCAATCACGTTGTCAAAAATTAACCGGAGAATATGAGCTCCGGTAACCATATGATGGTCCTCTGAGTCTCCGCACCAAAGACGTAAACAGACTCTGCAAAAGGAGAACAGAGGAGAATGAAAATTCAACTTACCCCTCGAGCTCATTTATACCACCCTTCACCCAAAATCTGTTTTGAAAC